ACACAGTGAGCCACAAATGGACAAGGAAACCATTTTGAGAGCAGCAAACCGGTGAGCAGGGCTGTGCAGGAGAGGGCAGCACAGGGAAGCAGGGCAGGAGGCTGCTCCTCTTGTACTTTCCCCCTGCCTTGCAGATGGACAGCCCAACACAAATGGCTCCAGATGACACAAAGCCCTGGAGCTCAGACCTCCAAACTGGTGCCCTGCAATAAAGGTAAGTCACATCCATACCGTAGCCTGTCATGCTCCTGCAGGAACCTGGAAGATCCGCAAGGACCCCTTGTCTTACCCCAATGTTTGGAGCTGCTTTGTTGAGTCTTGGCCACACTGCAGGTGCTGGCACTGGACCTGCTGATTGCAGTGGCCTTTTCCACGCTGCTCTGGGGACAGCAACCCGGTGAGCAGGGCTGTGCATGGGAGAGCAGCACAGGGAAGCAGGGCAGGAGGCTGCTCCTTTCAATCCTTCCCCCCTGCCTTGCAGATGGACAGCCCAACACAAATGGCTCCAGATGACACAAAGCCCGGGAGCTCAGCCCTGCACACTGGTGCCCTACATAAAGTAAGTCAGATCCATACTGTAGCCTGTCATGCTCCTAAAGGACCATGGAAGCTCCCCAAGATCCTCCTGTTCTTACCCCAAAACCTCTTAGTCTGCTTTGCTGAGTCCTGACCCCACTGCAGGTGCTGGCACCACACCACCTGACTGCAGTGGCCGTGTCAACGTGGCATTGCTGACACAGTGAGCCACTAATGGGCAAGGAAACCATTTTGGAGCAGCAACCCAGTGAGCAGGGCTGTGCAGGGGAGGGCAGCACAGGGAAGCAGGGCAGGAGGCTGCTCCTTTCATTCCTTCCCCTCTGCCTTGCAGATGGACAGCCCAACACAAATGGCACCAGATGACCAAAACTGATGCAGCTCAGCTCACCTCCAAACTGGTGTTCATGTCCTACAAAGAAGGTAAGTCAGCCACAAACTCCAGGCTCTTGTGCTCCTAAAGGACCATGGAAGCTGAACAAGGACCCCTTGCCCTACCTCAGTGTTTGGTGCTGCTTTGCTCAGC